TACCCGATAAAAAAACCCTCTTCGTATTTTAGATAGACAATGCTAGAGCACAAGTCTAAGGGGCAATTTCATAGATAAAGAAACAGTTTCATTCCCTCCATATGACAAATAAATAAAAGCAATAATAGAAAAGATTAAAATGGTAAAAGACAATACCAATAAGATGTGTCATTTATCTGTCTTTGGACTACTGCCATGGTATGGTTGCCTTCACTAAGGGTAAGTGATGAGAACAAGATTATTTTAAAAAAAGCTCTCATCTATTATTCTCAAAACCTACTCTTTACTTCCAGTTCTCTTACTGAAGGCTTTTTTTTTATTAAAAATATTTTAAAATCTTTTTTTGCCGTAAGGGGAAACTCAAGTGAGTGATGTGCATTTAAAAGAGAAAAGTGGTTTGTCTTGTCCCTTAACCTTGACAACAATATGTTATCTCTTTATTTTTTACCATAAGGATTTTTTGGTGTGTCTTTTCCTTTATCTCTGACACTGGTCTTGTACAGTGTGTTCTTAAAAGTGACAGACTTTCACTGTGAAAGTATTACATTTATAGTGAAAAGTCATGCAGCAAGCAAAAAAAACACTCTCAGGAATAAAAGTGTAGACTTATTCACTTTATGTGAATGAAGCTGGCTAGAATCTCTCCTTGTCCTCAACATGTTTTTGTTGGGAAAGTAATTTTTTGAAAGTACTTAGCAATAGTGTATTTTAATTCTCAAAATTTTCATTTGATGCTTCTCTCCCATTATATATAACAGGAACTAATAAAGGTAAAGACAGCTTGACTGATGTAACTGATTTATATTTCCTCTGCCTTTATAACATCATTTGAGAACACAGACATTCTCGCTTACTGCTCAACATGTCAATATAAAGCCTTCTCCCTCCTTCACCTACTGAAGCACCTAAGAAATGTAAGACCGTGGTGAAATGTATTTTTGGAAGCATCTCTGCTCTCCCTACATGCTGACCAGCAACCTTGTAAGTGTTTGTTATTCCTTTGAGTGATTGGGGAAAATCAGGAAGGGAATTACAGCCTGGAATAAAAGTTCAGTTTCATTTGCTCTCAAGAGAGCAAAATGCAGATTGAGAAATTGTAATCTATCACATTTTATAAATAGTGATTATCTAATTAGGTCCTGTTCTTCACGACAGCCTTTTAATTCTCTTAAAATTTTTAATACAACAATATGTACCACAATATATTAAACACTTAAAAAAATGCTTCCTATCACTGTTGTTTTTTTTTTCTCTATCTTTTTTCTCTTGCTGAGGTTACATGACATAGTTAAGGGAACCTGGGATTCTCAAAATCTGGGTGGCACAGTGCAATTCTCTTAGTTTGCATTGCTGATGCTTTCTCAATTTCTGCCTATGTAGGAACATAATTTGCCTTAAAGATAACTAATAAAAATTTGGGTATATTTATATAAAAACACCACACTTTACATGAAAATTTAATATCACAAACATATTATGTCGTTGAATCATAAAAAAAGTGAAAAATTAGGCTAACATTCTCTTTTCATTTCCATTCATCATTACCTGTAAAAACAAAGTATAAGGTATAAAATAAGCACCTTACCAAAATTAAGTTCAAAGATTTGGTCCCTCAGACTGATTGAAAATTTTTGAAGAGTACCATTTTGCCATGATTTTTGTGCTAATATTATACAATTTTATGAAGCAAAACAAAGGAGATATATATATTTTTTTAATGTAAGCCCCTACCATCCCAAATCTCTCACACAAAACTATACAAATTCCAAACCTTTTTTTAATGAGGAATTTAGAGGATTTGGTGGCTTCATTTGTTTTTTGATTGTTTTGTTTTTCCTGCTTAATCTTCTGTAATTATTGTTGAAGATTTTAAGGACTGAAGTGGAATTGTTGGGAGTTTTATAGCCTTTCATACCAGAAAGTTTTGCAAAATGCACAAAAACCTAAAAACAGCCAGCCAAATCTTTGAAGGACTCTTTCTTCATTGCTTCCTCAGGCAGCATAGATTTTTTTTTTTCCTACTGCTTAAGTCAAGGATTATCACATTTTGAAATCATACTTAACATTTCAACAAGAAAATATCATCTAAGAAATGTAATTTTTGTTAATCTTGGGAACAGAATATCACAACTGAAGTTTCAGACTCCTCCATCTGAAAATTTGTGTATGTCAGCATTTAGAAAGAGCCTACAGAAAGAGACCGAATTGTACCAGTTCTACCTTTTTCTCACTACAGGTCTCAGCTATCTATATGGTATTAAAAAATCTAAAAATGCTTTGGTTTTCAATGTCTTTGTCCAAGACCATAGAAGTGATTTCAAAAGAGTACATTATCTGTCACAACTGTTGTTGACTAACCTAGAAAGAAAAGGTACAGATGAATAGAAAACATTCTTCAAGGAAACGTAATACATGGTAAGTCAAAGTCATGCACCTGCATCTCTGGGCTGTTCTGCATCCTATTCCATACATGAATTGCTTTACTAAAAGATCCCATTAAATAAGAATGTAAGTACTAAACTTCTCCAGCAGTGCAGTGGATTACTGATCTGTACAAGGACTTACAGTCTTTGTACCACAGCCAGTAGAAGAATACTACAAGGAGGTTACCAAAACAATAATGTTGAAATGGAAAAGGTAACACTTCCACTTCCTTTGGAACTTCCCCTTGTTCACACAAGGACTTCAGAAAAATTGGGACTGCTGTTACAAGGTGTTACATGCTGTTACATAGCCTTTCCCATCCTAGAAGACTTGATAGAGGTTGCAGTTGATTGGAAATCTTTGTTTCATTTGCTTGTGTAACGCTTCTGCCCATGACAAGCTATAATGACAAGTAGTAGGATTTTCAAATGGGACCAAAGAATTTAACTGTGCAAGTCCAATGACAATTTTTCATAGAAACTAAACACCTACATCACTCCAGCAGTACAGGAATTTTCTCACTTTTTTTATAATATCCAAAATATGATGGAAGAAGGGAAATCCAGGGAGTCCAGGGTAAAAAAAAAAAAAAAAACCAAAAAAAACCCACACCACAACAAAAAAAAAACCACTAGCCAGTAAATTAAAGTTGATTAGACTAAAATCTCTTTTCTCCGTTTCTCTCCCAATTACCTAAAATTGCTGATAGAACTAAAACAAGATATCGCATTCCATTTTAAAAGAACAGTTTTCATGGGTACTTTTTTAAGTGTGGAATGCAGAATCTCTTGTGCCTTCATTACAGTATCTGTCCTATCATACTATGTCCTAGATCTACGTCTGCTATTTGCACTACTCATAAACCTTGTTGATCTCTTCTTGTTTGGAACTCAAAGGAAATTCAGTGAAAGCCACTATCAATTAAGCTTTTTGTTACAACAGGTGCAGCTTGCACTTTGTTTGAAAATTTTGACCAAGAGATCATTCAGTCAAATGAATTCACCTGAAAGGGACTTATGTCACTGCCAGTATGACAACAGGAGAACACTGCTAGCAATAATTCTCAGGTGGGTTTTTTTCAGAAAACCAAGAGGACAGAATTACTGCCATTAATATTGAAATCTTTAAACTCATTCTTCTCACTATATTTAATAAATATTTTCAAATTTTAAAATACAAATAGAACAATATGTTCCATAACTTATGACTGTATCTTTATTGAAATTAAACTTGGTTTTATGACTGTCATTCTTTTCTCTGTCATTTGACTCTCATAGTGCACAATGCAATTAAATCATAGAATTGAGTCCAAATGCTCAACAATCACAACTCCTAGTGAAGTAGATGAGAGAAGAGACATTCGGCATCCAGAGAACAGCAACAGAGCCAGCCAGTGTTAAAAAAGAACACAACACAGTAACAAAATAAATCAAATGTCAACACTCCTTTCTTTTAGTTATAATTCTTGCAATCATGAACAATAAAATGCAGTTAATTCTCTACAGAATGTAGAATTATGTTTCACCTAACTTGTAGCCAAAAACTCCTTTGAGAATTTTTATCAAGAAGAGAGATGTAATTCACTGCAGAACTGTAGCTTAATTAAGAAAAAAACAAGCAACAATCTGTTAATACATAATTCTTAAGATACACGTAATGCTGCCTTTACTGTTATGAGCTGCTACACATTTACAGGGAAAGATAAATACAATTACCACAGTACTAACTTGGGTGGACAGCTTACAATTTTTGTCTATGTGAGATAGTATTAGTGAAAGAAGAAATTGCAAATGAAATGACATTTAGGGTCAAATGCAATAATTCAAGAGTAGCTTTAGACCTTTCCCAGCAAATACTTAAGTGGGCAGAATTCACAACAACTTCAATTACCAGTTCTAGCAAAAGTCGGTCTCATATTTACTTCTCTCTCTTTTCTCTGCAGTGACAGATGACAATTAGCAGGTCCTTTTCCTTCTGATAGGTTTCCTTTTGCTTTCAATATGTATTTCAATTGTACGTATGACTTAGGATTTTTTTTTAGTCAAAGCTTTTGAAAAGGCAACAGTGTCACAAAGAAATGCTTTCAAATGAAAAGCCAGTGGCTAGCTAGAAAACTGCAGTGAAGAACAACTGCATTTTAGAAGTCACTCCTGCACTCAGTAGGGCAGGTTCTTAGGCAGTCTAAATCCAAACTCTTACCACAATGATGCCACAATATTTTACACAGGCTGAAAATCTCTGATTTTGTCAAAAAATGCATAGAATAGGTTTATATTTTTAATGTATCTTTAGTAAAAGCGTAACTATAGTAATCTTCAAAGCATCCTTTAAATCCTCCAAAACAAATATTGAGATGTGTAAAATACATACATATACAAAGCAGTAGATGACAGGAAAAATAGTGACCTTTGTATTCTCCTACCTTCTCATAAGTCACCTTATGCAGGTGTGATTCATGCACAGTGAGCCAAGAAAGTTCACATTTTTTTAGTACTAGTAATGCTGGACATCTGTAAAAGTTCTTTTAATGGAAGTACATTTTAAGGGCATGAAACTTCTTCCAGAAATGTGCTTACCTCTTCCAGAGCAGGGTAAATTAGAATTTCCTTGGCATTTCTTAGCACTTTCCTCAGCTGATAATGGACAAGAACGTGGATGTTCACACTTCTTCCCAGTCCATCCTTCTTTACAGTCACACATTCCACAGTTACACTGTCCATGACCTTTACAATCCATACAATTAAAGATTAGTCTCATACTGATGATAGATATTAAAACCTCATGATTAGATGTACTTTATCAAAGCTGTGGTTTCATTAAGTAATCAGATTGGCAAAAAAATACTATCAACTCACTATACCTATTTTTTTCTGAAAATAGAACTGGTCTATCATTCCATTTAAGCCATATTTCCTTTAAATTATTTTTCTTAAGGGATGTTTTGGCACATACTCCTCATGCAGAAGGGTAGAATAGAGGTTACAAATACACATTTCATCACTGTCTGGAAAAGTGGGGTCATCATAAGGGAATATTTCATTTACCTTTACGTTCATATTTTTCTACCACAGTTGTGATATATTCTCTAAGTAATATGTCAATACCATATTTTATCTACTTGCAACCAACATGATCCACTAGAGACAAGCAAAGTTACACCAATTCCAAGTCTCAAATCAGTGCCGCCTTCTAAATAGTGAAATGCAAATAATAAAATACTGGACATAATCAATTCTCATTTCAATAGAGTAGTTGAATGTGGTTTTGGCATCTCATTAGCTAACTTGAGACTTCCTGACCATGTCTGAATGTAGCAACGTAAATGCAACTTCCACTGTGCAAACTGAGGTGAGGAAAAGCAACTTATATACAGAAGGATTTCTGGAAAGTTTCTCAAAAAAAAAGAAAAAAGACAGTCAAGAAGTTAGGGGTGAATCCCTCCTGAGAACTTCACCTGGAAAGCCATTTAAACAATCTATTTCCTCTATATGATTGATAACATATCCAGACCAAGAAAAAACAAGCTATTCACCCAGCTTCCTTCATTGTGAGATTCTTTGCATAAAGCAGTGGGATTCTGGCAATACAAAATGTTCTCTGCACTGGATGACTAAAGCTTGAGCATCAGCAAAAACATTCCTCGCTAGAAAATCAAGTATTTATTTTCATAAACAGAAGGTTAGATCTTCTCTCACAATTTTCACACAGTCATCATTCACTGGACACAGGATCCCAAAGAATTGCTCTGATAGTCCACTTCTCTACCAAGGTTCTTCTTGAAAACTATAGCAACACATATTTTGTATCTCTTTCTAAATGTACTTGCATTTTAAGACTGGCTTATATTAAATTTCTAAAACATATGCATTTATGAGTTCACAAGGAGAAACTGGGAGGAAACAAGCATTCTACAAGTTATCAGAATAGTTCCCAGAATACAAGCCTTATTAATTTCACAATAACTTCTCTTTATATTAGTTATTTGTTTTATTTGAAAAGCATTAAAGGCTTCCTCTTGTTTAGAGGGTAGATTTAGATTAAATATTAGGAAGAAATTCTTCACTGTGAGGGTGCTGAGGCACTGGAAGAGGTTGCCCATAGAAGCTGTGGGTGCCCCCTCCCTCGAAGTGTTCAAGGCCAGGCTGGACGGGGCTTTGAGCAACCTGGGCTAGTGGAAGGTGTCCCTGCCCATGGCAGGGGGGTTGGACTAGATGATCTTTGAAGGTCCCTTCCAACCCAAACCATTATATGATTCTATGATTCTGTCCCTTGCTTTCATGTGTACCTGCTGACAGGCTGCGAATTGCACATATGTTCCCTGATCCAGATAGATATTTATGAGATGATGATGTTCTTTCATATATTTTCTTTGCTAGAGCCACAGCGAAGGAGCTAATGAGATGTGTGAATGTAAGAATTTTCTTACATGAGCCTTTTTTCTATGTCAAGTCATGAAAGCTATTCTCTCTTTAAAGGAAGAGAATCACTTTCATGTTGCAAACACCTGTGAAAGAAAATCATTCAGTAACATACTGAACAGCACTTCAGATGTTAAAAGAAGGCATCCAGTTGCCAATATGAGGTACTGCAAATTGACAGTCAGCCCAAGGCATATGAAGCTTCTGGAGGGAGCTGCTGTTGTGTGATGTTAAATCTTCACAGCAGGGTTGTCAATTCCTGTCATTTGTAGTTTATGAAATAAACATAGCATTTCATTCAGTCACAGTAAAACTCTTTACATATAAAAATGATTTCCTATCATTTCAATCTGCTACTCAGGACAATGCTATTTCCTGTCTCTACATATTAGGTAGGCAGAACAAGACAGGAAAAGTTTTGTATCAGCTCTGTTTGATGTAGGTTTTAAAAGAGCTAGCTTATTCTCCCTAATTTGACTAATCCCTCCTGGATTCATCCTAAATCAATTGACAAATGATTGTGAGGAAAAATGGGATATTTTAAAGACACATTTAACGCATGTACACTCTGTGCACTAAGTAAATTTATTTCATATAGACAAATAAAAAAGATGTCCAATTAAAATTATGTGAGTAAATCTTTGATTTAATTGCAGATTCTGTCTACCCCAGTAAACCAAAATTAATATTTATGCATCTTGTCCATTTCTCAAACAGAACTAAAGAGCAGGACTGTAAGACACTGTTCACATTGCTTAATGTGAAAATGGATTTTCAGCACAACCTATTTGAGGAATGCATACCTGGATGGTCAGCTAATGCCAAATTAGGCTTTTCAAAAACATAATGGTAAAGGAAGGGATAAGAATAAGAAGTAGTACTAAAATTTTTGCTGATTAGATAGAAAAACTAAGCTATACCTCAACGTGAGTTTTAGTTACATTAAGCAAGCCATATGAGTACCTCCTTTTGTATCTCTTGTAAGGTTTGTTCATTTACAGTTATGTCTGTGTAATAAAGAACACTGTACCAGTCCTTGCTCTAATGTCAAACGGCAATATCTTCCCCCCAACTCCTTTGTAACTGTCCATACTTTTTTACACTCTGCTTTCTTACAACCATTAGCACTCTGGGCAGCAGCAGCAGAAATGGTAATAATGTTCCAGAAAGAGGGAGTTCTAGCTCTGTTTCAGTGATGCAACATTAGTTGTAGATGCTCCAGGTTTGCTTTAATCTAAGTAGGTTTGAAACTCTTGTGTTCACCCTCAACTACAGAATACATTTACCATGTTGGCTTTTTAGCCTTGTATTCCTTAGATGATGCTGACATTTTGAACAGTCCCTGAGTGCTAAAAACATACTCAGCAACACAACAATACATTCAAAAATTGACAGCATCCAAAAGTCAATCCTCTTGCTGCTCTCATGACTGCAGTTTTACATCCTTCCAGCTTATTAATTAAATAAGCCTACATAAAACTTGTAGGTGGCTGAAACAGTAACAAGCAAATGAATTCACTGAAGATTTTCAGAAATGCTTCTTTTTTCCCCCCTTGTTTTATTAGTTACTGATTCATCAATATTTATTAAAAAAAAAAAAAACAAAAAAAAAAAACCACACAACCAAACACAATAGCTGAGAAACCTTTCCCCTTGATAACAGGGGAAGAAGATAAAAATTTTATGTATTATAATGTTTGTTTCAGCTTTCTCTCCCTATTACAGACAACTCCTATGATCTTTCTTTGAGGGATGTCTCATTCTAGTAATAAGAGGAGAATATACCACATCATTATTTTCCTCAATGTGACTGCATTCTTCCTATTATTAATTAGGCTAGATTAGATTTCTACAGGACTCATTAGAGCTGACAACCTGTAATCTGTCAAATCCCTTTGAAACTACCCTCATTTATTTTGCAAAGTTCCTGTTTGTACAAATTGCACGCTGTGTATTGATCAAAGTCATTCTCTCCTGCCTAATATTAGCATCTTTATTGGTAACTATACAAAATCGTATGCAAGGTCTTGCTCAGTATCTCAGCTTTTGTTAGTTGATACGTGGAGCAACAATGTAAATAATACACCACAAACCTTGGATGGCTGGATGGCTGTTAACTGATTTGCACAGAATGCTCTGAAGTACAAGTAGAAGAAAAAAGGAAGGTGAAAGTGTGTAAAATGTACAGTCAGTGATGTGCAGCTGGACGACACATTTGTATTTTTCACCTATTGATGCTCTACTTATTCTCAAGTCAACTGGTATTCTCAGGGTACTGTTTTTCATTAACTCATTAATTCATTTTTCCTCTAATTTCTTCCTTTCATTGTTCTCTCCCTGCCATATAACATGAAATAACAAATAAAATTTGATCTAAAAAATTTTCAAATTTAAATTTCCCCAAGGAAGGATATATGTATATATTTTAAAGTTTCAACCATTCTCCAATTTATGTTAGGTTACACTGAAGACAAGAGTATTAAAGGCAGATGGGCACCTGAAAGTATTTCATATTTACAGAATTTTGTTGAAATGCATAGAAAAAAAAAGAGACATGTTTAAGAAAGCTTTAGAACTGGAAACATTTTTAAATAACAGAATTATGTCTTTTAATTTTAAAAGTCCACTCCTAAAAATAGATAGCTAAAGCTTGCTATATTTTAAGCTAGGAAAATGAGAATTGGAGCATTAAGAAAGAACCAAATCAGACCAACTGGATGCTTTTGTTTTAAAACCACATATAGGTTCCTATTATATATACACTACTTACCTGAACAGAAGTCATCAGAATATCTATCATATACTGCTTTGCAGTTTCTTTCATCACACTCACAAGTATCTCCATGAATATCTCCCCAGTCACCAGTTGGGTCCACATCATGGCATGTGCATTCCCCACATACACATGTGCCTAGGAAAGAGTAGGGAAAAAAATTAAAAAAAAAAAAAAAGAGACAGACAGAGGTAGACTATTAACTGAGCAATTTAGAGTAACAGTAGTGAGATTACAGAAATTTACACTTGTGAATTTTCTGCTCTCGCAGGATGCAGTTTCAAAGCTGCTAGTGTTAATCAGAAGTGTATGCTTATCTTCTATGATTATTTAGTAGTAATACTTTATACAAGTTAGCTTCCTGTTCAAGTTTCTTTCTACTGTTAAGCCTTATTAGGAATCAACAGAAAAATGTAGTGCATAGAACTGTTGTAAATCTTTGACATGAACAGCAATTTGCCCTGACACTAATGACAATAAAAATCAGTGCTGTTTAAATGACCTGAGCTTGGGCACAGTGAATAATTAATGATTATTAAGCATAAACATTTAAACTAGAAGGGAATCCAAATTCTAATTGAGCTGAAAATACCTAGGAGGTCATTCTTTACCTAAGAAGAATACCATCACAGATTTACATGAAAATGATACTTTTCTACTTTTCCCAAGTCAATATTCAGGGCCACACCCCGTTGTTTACAATAAGAAGGGAAATAAATATGACAGAAATACTAATTTTGGCACAACCTTATTGATATATAGAGAACACGCATCCTACTTACTTAGGAAAAGTCAGAACAAAATCAGATCATTTCCTTACTCAGAAATCTGAATATGCTTCAGGCCCATACACTCACTACTTTTTCTGAGGTGCCAATGGCCACAAAGAACCAGCTTAACCTTACAGATGTATGCAGTTCATTTCCTTCACCTTCTGCTACTCAACCAAAGCCTTTTTCTTCTTATTCAGATTACTCTGAACAATATAATGCATCTGAGAACAACAGGACAGGGTGACTAAAAAGTACATATAGATATAAGCACATTCTCTAAAAAGAGAAGGTCTACACAATTGTGCATGCATGACAATTACATGAAGTAGAAAAAGCTGCTGCTCTGTTTAGTGCTAAAGCGCCCAAGACAGCCCTCAAGAAATTTGCACTGGATTTTTGATATTTTCACAATTCAGAGACATTACTGAAGGAGAAGGAAAAAACTGTCAACAAAAAAGAAACAAACAAACAAACAAACAAACAAATAAAAAAAGAGAAAGAAAATGAGGAAGTGTCTCTGGAGAGTGATTAATCCTCCCAGAAACAACTTCAAAGTGAATTTGGTTCAGCTGCCCTGAATATCGGAATGCAAAACGGCATCTCACCAAAGTTTAAAAAATATAAAGGTTCACATCTGGTCTCAGCTGGTTGACTAGACAGTTGGTGGAAAGATACTGACAATTTATCTATCTTAGCACTGAAGAAGGCTGGACAGCAAGGTTAGCCTTGATATTTAATTTTTAGAAGGCTCAAGACTGACAAGATGAACTGCACCCATATCGCAAGATGTATAAACACAGAAAACTGGGTAAATAGGACTAAAGAGAGTAGAAATACTGTGTTGGAAAGCAACTTAATGTAGTCAAAAGTGTAAAACATTTTTATGTGGATAAAATTGCAAATACATGATAGGCTAAAAATATAGAAGCATCCCATAAATTTACCTTTGTATAGGGGTTTGTAGCTATTCAGAATATCAGCTATACTATTTATCCTCATTTTCCCCAATTAAAATGTAAATTTAAAGAAATATTTGCACATTAAAATTTTAAATTTGAACAAAAAATTGCTCTGAGAAGAAATTATTTGACAAGAAATTACTTTCTCTGAGCAAACAAAATATCTGATCTGAAGCCACTTTGATATTTACTATTTCCAGAATTACAGAAAAAAAAAAATTTACTGTAATGTCCTGAGACAAAATGAGCCTACATGATCTCTGCATTTGAGCCAATCTTTGAATTTCCTCATAATTACAAGAGGTTTTCTAAATGCTCTTGGGATAATTAGGTGTTCACACTACAGCAGGTTTTGTCAGTAGAGATGTTTTTAAGAGAGGTATCTATGCGACTTGTGCTTATGTTCTACTGTAATTATTCTGGGCTATTGCCAAAAATATTACATGTTTATTTAACTCTTTGTTCAACAAAGCCAAACACAGCAGCCAGTGAAAAGCAGCCTTATTTTGTGGTTTTGGTTTTTTTGGTGTTTTTTTTTTTTTTTTTCCAAATGAGCAAAATTAGACAAAGTATAAGGTAAAATTCAAATTCTGGAACTTTGTGTAAATAAAACCCCATATAGTTAGAAATATAGTGTGAAGTCTACTTTTCCAGCTCTGTATGCATTCCACATCATTGTTACTGAACACTTCTTACTTGTTTTTTCCAGGTGTTTTTATTTTTCTTATTCAATTATGTGTCCTTGGTCTTATTTACAGTGAATGACATACAGCCCTGTTGGCCTTACAGAACCAATACATTCAACGTCAAAAATCTGCTAATATTTTAATTTGTAGGATAAGACTCTCACCAAAGCAGATGTTCTAACAAATTATCCTGCTCAGTCTTACTACAAAAATGAAGGATGAGAACTTGGGTCAGTTTAATCCAAAAATGGGTGTGGATTTGTGTAAGTTTATACCTAAATACAGGTATCTACCCACACACTTGGATACATATATCCAGATTTGAAGTGACAAAAACTATAAACCATCAGCAAACACAATCTACGTTCAACTGCAGAAAATGCATAGTGTAAAATAAAAGCAAGCTATATAAATATGCGTAGAAGGAACGTGTGAATGACACACCTCTGTTGCTGCAGATTTTGCCATCTGGAGATGTGCATCTTTTCTTGATCTCCCAGGGGGTGATGTCACACTGGAATTCACATTTATCTCCATGCCAACCAGCCTCACAGTAACAGTTTCCACAGTAACACTTTCCATGGCCTTAAGCCAAAACAAATTTTGTACAGTGAGAAAGAGGCAAGTTTTTAAAAGGCATTAACAATTTAACTATTTTGATCTTTTCTTTTAAAAACTTTTGGTGCTAGACTCAGAATAGAAACAATTTATAGACCGTATATGCCTACATAAAATAAGAAAAAGGATATCTGAATTATACTTTTCCCCATCTATTTAGAATGGTTTTCATTTAATCACATATTAAATCTAATCCATAAACACTAAGAAAATAATGTCAATGTTTTTATATTTGTAAGCTTAATTTTCGAAACTTTATAGGCAAATGTAATAGTTAAAATTTAAGCACAGCCTTAAATGTTAAGATAGGACACACCCCCCTTACTTGGCATGTCTAAGAAAGCATCGTGTGTTCTTGACTCCTCAGATAATCCCAGCAGAGGGACCTTGATTTACAACTGTCTACATTATATATGGCTTCCCTTCTTACCTCTTAAGATTCTTGAATATGGATAAACCAGTTCATGAAAGATAAGAATTAGTAAAATGAACCTTTTAGATGTTAAAGAATTAGTAAAATGAACCTTTTAGATGTTAACAAACCACACATCTCCCAGAAGGATAGCTGGGTCACCTGAGACTTGATAAAACCAGTTCCTGAACATTTTGATCCACTAATGGACTTCTGCCATGTACTTCAATGACACAAAGCATTTAAATTAAGTAGCTGCAACACTTACTAATCCTAAAGTCATAATTCTTTACTAGAAGGATCAAGTCAGGATCTAGTCCTTCTTTACCTCTAGATACGCTAAGCTTAGTGGACCTGGTTGTCTCTATCACATTCCAGTCAATTTATATCCTTAACTATCAAGAGTGCAAATTTAGACCTGTGGAATACTTTTTTTTCCCCTGTTTTTACAATTACACATGGAATTTTCATAACAATTGTTTGGTTATGTGTCAAAAAATAACACGACAAAAATACCATCTTACTTAGAGAACAACAAAGACAGTCTAAAATAACACTTATTACCAAAAGGTTATTCTTGAACCGGGGACAAGAAATAAAGGGGAAACGGTGAAGGAGTAAATTAATTTGATCTACTAGCAATTTTTGCAGATTAAAACATCACTACTTTGTTCTTCACTCACACTTGTAAAGTCCTCAAATAAATACTAAATAATTGATACAATTTACCACTACCTCTTGCTCTTGACTGAAGGTAAAATCACTCCATTAGAGAAAAAAAGCCTTAGATAAAAAAAGATTAGGATCAGATATCAATTTGCTGGAAACCACAATACTTTATTAAAAATAAGCTGCAACTTAAACTTCCAAAGTTTATTTGACCTCGAATAAAAAGTGATATGGTCAAATGACTGATAAAAATCCAACTGAGGCTGGAAAAGCTTGATGCATCTTTGTAACTCTGCCCTACCTAAGAACTGTTTTGCTTAAAAATGCAGTCCCCTTGTGCAAAGATTAAAATGCATGTTATCAATATCCCAGCATGGCATTGTATGCTTTTCCAGGATAAAATCCCAGTTTACAGCTGCAGGCTTTAGAGACATGTGTGTAAATAGAAGCTTTTTTTCTCATTAGTTTGATCTTCCTGAATTGGCTTGTTTTGAAGACAAAATCTTCAAGTCCTGTCTATACCTTCAAGGGCAGTAAAGGATATGGAGCAACTAAGTAGGTGCTATACAAACTGTGGAAGTACAACAGGCACTGGAGAATGTCCAGGGACCATTGCTAGCTAAGCAGAACTGGGTTGGAACGCTGTTTCTGTATTACTTAATAAACAAACCTAAAAGATTCCTGTAGTGGAAATCCTGTGAAACAAAAGACAGCATAGAGGGTATTAAAGGAGACATTGGGATGAGAGAGAGAATCAGTAACCATATATGCATGTGAAGTCTGCTTTTTCTGTGATGAAATTATGTACCTTTGACCTTGAGTTCATTTGCTGTTCATTTTTCTGCTTAAGGCAGTTATGGTTATGTTCCATAGAGGCATGTTAGAAAAGTAAAGCAAAATCTAACAATTATAACCTAGATGTACAAACCTTTCAGCTTACAACCTTCTAAGTCAAGCACACTGTTAGTTTACACCTTATATTTACTTTAGAAGGCTCCAAAACTTATATAAAGTATCAGGGCTTTTATACTGATGAATCACAGACCTTAGAGACTTGAATCTACCAACATTTTTTTGTCCTTTTATATCAGCATACTTTGATTTCTGCATACACATAAAACCAGATTTTTACAGAGATGCATCTAGTCTGTTCTGGGATATGGCACCACTGGATGAAACAAGAGGAAATAAAATCTAAGAAACACCTAACAATATAAACCAGCAGTGACACAGGTGGGGAAAAAAACCTGACAAAAACAGCAGACAGAATTTACTGGAACTAAAGAAATGGTAAATTTTTATCATATTTGGTACCATATGTAAATGTTACAAGCAAATAAATGTAGATGGAATCACTGACACATAAAAATTATTGCACTCCACTCGTTTTATTTTATGCAGTTACTGGAAATATTGTACCCCTGGATCTGGACTTCAGAGGACCATTCTCTCTACCCTCAGTTAAAATCCCTACCTAATTCTATGAAAAAAAAAAAAAAAAAAAACTTAAGAAAATCAAATTTATTTTATTCTCTGTGTAAGGATAGATAAGTCTATTTTACACAACTACTCTCTTTCTTTATACACAGACACAGACCAAGCACTATTATCAGATTATGACTAGTCTAAGAGCAGTTCTGAACCCTCCTGTATGCATACAGACACAGTATGCATGTGTACAGCTTGAAAAATATTTGTAGCACTTTCCAGCTCAAGGACAAGCCTCCCTAGTAATATAGGTGGCAGCATTTATAATGTCATAAATGGTGTGTATTGTACAATATTTAATTGCCAGCTTTCTATCTTATAATGAAATGAAAGTAGTTATAATTTTGGTTGCTTTTCTATCTATCAGCAGAGTCCACTCCATCTTATTCTCTTGCCTTTCCTATGACAGACGAAATTTTTCTTCATTCATTCCTTTCCTTTTTTATCTCCTGAATTGCTTCTGTGTTCTCATCCCACATTTATTCTTGTTCTTTTTAATTTTTTGCTTCCTTGACAAAATTTTTAATAATCTATTTTTTCTTTTGTTTTTGATATGTCATCCATCTTGCTCTCATCTGTGTCACAAAGCATTCACATTTCTTATATTCTGCCAAAGACAGACACACTAAGCTATGAATTACCTTAGTGAATTACTTTGTATAATTCTCTTTGCCATTCTTTCAAAAAAGGGGAGGGTGTCACAAGATTTCTTCATTCTTTAAACTCCTGCTTAGCTCATGTTTGCATCTGAAATTCCCACTTAAAATTTGCAAGCTAAATTCTTGCAAATATAGTTTCAAGTCATACATTCAGTAAAGACATTTTCTAGGTCCACACTATTAAATTATTTTATAATAGCCTATATTAATCATCACCATTCTTCTGGTACTCACTAAAATACTTACCTGTACAAACCTCTTCCGTCTCATCATCTAGGCATTCTCTATCATCACATTCACAAAATTTACCATAGACCAGTCCATTTCCTTCTGAGTTTGCACATTTACACCTGCCACACTGACATGTGCCTGTAAACATTTAAGACAGTACTCAGTGATTGCAGTTTATGGGAAGAGTTTCATTAGTCCATCAGAGATAGTACATATTTTATTTCTGAGAAGGCTGAAACCTAAAGATCATCTAGCCAAATAAAGACAGACACAAAACCAATCCATATCAACAAAAAGCCTAATCTTATCTGTAAATAGATAAAACATTCATGTGGTTCATTTTTAATAAGGAGAAACATATTTTCCTAAGTAAAATTTACACCTGGAGTTGTCTCTCTGACTTCATATAACTGATGTATTGTGTTGGGTTTGTGTGCGGTGGGGTGTTGGTATCAGGGGAGGGAGATACAAAGGTGGATCCTGTGAGAAGCTTCTAGAAGCTCACCTGGCTCCAAGTCAGAACTGCCTCGGACCAAGACCAATTAGCGACATTCGTCATGCTTCTGTGATAATGTATTTAGGAAGGGGAACCTGGGATGAGGAGTGGGAGTTGTGAGGGATATACCTCCGCAAACACAAAAGTCGGAGCAGTGACCCCCCCGCAGCCCATGGTGAGAGGTCAGGCTGTGCCCCTGCACCCCATGGAGGTCACTGCTGGAGCAGATGCCCCCTGCAGCCCGCGGAGGACCCACGCTGGAGCAGGTGGCTGGGCCTCAAGAGGCCACGACTCCATGGGAAGCCCCCGCTGGAGCAGGCTGTTGCTGGGAGGACTGCAGCCCCCAGGAGGGACCCATGTGGGAGCAGTTCATGAAGAGCTGCAGCCCGTGGGAAGGATCCACATCAGAGAAGTTTATGGAGGACTGACTCCCATGAGAGAGACCCCACGCTGGAACAGAAGAAAAGTTTGAAAAGTCCTGCCCCTGAGGAGGAAGGAGCGGCAGAAATAATGGGTGATGAACTGACCGCAACCCCCATACCTTGTCCCACTGTGCCACTGGGGGGAAGGAACTGGAGAAGTTGGAAGCAAAGTTGAGCCTGGGAAGAAGGGAGGGGTGGGATGAAGGTGTTTTTAATATGTGGTTGTATTTCTCACTGTCCTACTCTGATTGGTAAATTAGTGGTGGTGGTGGTGTTCATATTAAATTGACGTTCTTTTTTTTCTTCCCGATTTCAGTCCGTCTTTCGACCATGACCATAATGGGCGAGTCATCCTTCTCTGTCTCTGTCTCAATCACCAAGCCTTTTGTTTTATTTTCTCCTCCCCATCCCTGAGGGGGAAGGAGTGAGCAAGTGACTGCATGGTGCTCAGTTGCCCTCTGGCTTAAACCATAACACGTATGAAGTGAGCTTTGGAAATTATATCTTCTACCCACTGAAAGGAGAAAATGTAATTTAGTCATCTTCTCAGGAATGAAGTCTGGTTTTATCCAGTTCCACAGCCATGTTACATGAGAGTAACAGGGCATGGCTACCGAGGACCTGAAAAAATGTCTCCCTAAATTCACAAAGTTGCTTTGCACTCTGGTCTCTAGTCCCTTTCCTACAGCTATCATCTGAGGATTAAAATTTTGTAAGCATAGCCTTGGAGAAAAAGCCTGGAATCAAAGGAAGAAAACGTTAGTGAGGAACATCTGCATGAAGACCTTATGATCAGATGTCAGGACAAAAGGACTCAAGCTAGAAAGCAATTACCACAGCAGTACATTAATTCCACGACAGACAAGCTAATTGCAGAGAAATACATTCATAGCATTATTAAACAAACCATAAGTATTATAACAGCATATCAACAATTTTACTGCAAAGTGCATGTTTTTCCAGTGGTGTTGATGTTCACATTGCAAGTTATTTCATTCATTTGAAGAACTGTAGGAACCTCTACAATAATATCTTGTTATTTCAGGACTTTGAGCCAATCTAACTTTAAGCTTTTAGGGCTCATCTTTCATCATTATGTGGGTGATGTCTCATAAAAGAGTAGATCTTGCAAGAACGTTAAGAGCTGTAATAAAGACACTTGCTGATTTGTCAAAAGAAAGATGGGGTTTACCCATGTCAGACCAGCAAGTGGTTTGAGAACACAGGTCTGCCTGAGATTCACCCCCAGTGTATGTGCCAAATGCCCCTTTGGAAGTGTAGAGCTGGTTTTGCCTCACAACATAAACCACAACAGAAAACTTTCTGATGTAAAGAAAAGCCAGAGCACTCAGGTGATGCAAGGAATGGAAATAGGTTTTTAAACAAATCTCTACTCTATTACCTCTGGTCTGGTCACACATTTGCTTCTTGGTCTTTTGAGTAGAGTTGCTCCCTCACCTCAGTGGCTGCCTTTTGCCATGATTCACCCTCCCAAACAGAAAAAGTTTGTTTTGTTGCTCTCAGGGAAGGACAACGCATCCCTTTTCTCTCACAGAATCTATCTCACCTGGAGTGCAGTTGCCAGGGCAAAGCAAACACCTGCTGCCTTCTCCTGAATATTTTCTAGTTTAGAACATAATGATATATATGATAACATATAACAGCCATAAATAAACATATTAAGGAGTTATACAGTCAAATAATTAAAAATACCATAAAATCATGTTGGTCATATAAAAGACACCCCTTTTCCCTACCTCTATCACCTTTATTAAAATTGTAAGGGCAGAAACTTTGTGTAATACCATGTTAACTGGGGGCTTGTGGTCAGTGGGCTTGCATAAGCTGTTTCAGCAGTTACTGGACATCAAGTACAGATTTTTTTAAAAAGGAATTTTTAATTTATAAGACTCCTCATGTTACATCCACACTTATTTTAGAAAACATAGTTATTGACACAAAAGAAGTCCTCCAAAATAGAAGCTTTATGCTGATATTACACAACTAGTTTGCAGAAACAATTTTATATTTAAACATTGCAAGTTTTACTAAAGATCATATTAATCCAAACAAAGAACAGCAGAATGCGGCTCTGTGACATACTTGACCAGTCTAAAAAAGTAAACTTTAAAAATATTTGCAATAGCTGATCTAATGAAGTAATACAATATAAGTAACCAACAGAACTATAATTTTTTGCTACAATTACTTGGAAAATAAATACAAATAAAAATTTTGAGAAAACTGTCTTATTTACAGATAACTCCCCAAGAGGGAAAAAAAAAAAAAAAAAAGGTAAATTGATTCATAAATTGGGCATTTAAAGAGGTCAGACAGACTGTGTCCTAAAAGTGTCCATTCCCTCCCACTGACTAGAAGTGGAGATTGCTCATATAGAGAATTTCACTTTAGGTAGGATGCCCTAGTTTCTCTGACAAATTATTAGGAACATTTGAGTCAAAGAAGTTAACTTTTAGGTGGATCTTGATTGGTTCATGAAAATAATTACAATAAATGGTTATCTGTTTGACAGCAGAGGACTGTTTTGCAACAACTCATGTCATCCCTTCCCATCTTTTATTGACAATTGAAAAACAGTACTCAGACCCCAAAGGCAATGTTGGCAGTAGATCAAAAGGCAAACCCATTAAGACAAAATGTGTATGGCTACAGCCCATCAAAGCTACCCCAAGCTCAGCTTGTCCAGTTTCATATCAGGAAAACAAAAACCTTTTATTCTTCTGATCTCACAAACACTCCCCTCTTGGCCACTTTTAGTGGTTGTTCAACTACATTGGTTTTCCTGTAAAGACTCAGTGATAGACAGACTGGGGCTACTCCTAGCCATGGAAAGAAAGAAAAAGAAAGGTCTTAGCATTCTTGTTTAAGTACTTCGACTGATCACAATGAACTATGATTATTTTTGAGTCAGTTTCTCATTTAGGTGTCTCTCACTTGTTAGCTAAACAATCATGAGTTTCATATAATCTATATTATTGTCATAAGTTAAATGTATCATTTATTCAATATGCTGTATGCTTAAGATTTTAAATTGTTTTCATGTCTTGTCGTGAGAGCCTAACTTCTCTGTATCAAGACCACAAATCCTTTGGGTTCTTTGGTCATGTCAGCAACTACCTTGTGTGAAATTTAGTTGTATGAAAATGCATGGACCCAGGCAGAAATTAAAGGCCAGCAATAGTGAGCAGAAGTGGTGTTCTTGAAACATTCTCTCACTCAGAGATCAATGCAATGGAAAAACTGGAAGGCAGTTTCTGGTCTCAAACCGTGACTGGTAGCAAATGTCCTTCAAAATTTTACCATTCAGCAGTGAAGGCTTCTAAAAGGCTGTTTCTTTGTCCTCTGATTTATTTAAGGAAAGGTCTTCCCATTTAATTGAGGATGAGTTGTAAAATTAAAGAATTAGAAAAAAGAGAGTTATCAAATCAGAAAAGTGATGATGGAAGTACCCCATTTAAATGATCCAGCAGATGCCCCACAACGGTTTTTAATAATCATTGTTACAGCTCAAAAGCCTGTACTGCTTATAAATGTCCTGGAAAAAAATATTTGCAAATGCCATTTCTGCATACTATAAATACAAACAAATTGTATCACTTTCTGTGTTAATGCCTTTACCAGAACCTTTTGATGGGCAAAATACATGACACAGCTGTAGCTTCATCAACCTAAATTAGCTATGGATAAACTAGAGTACTAAAGTAGGCATTTTGAATCAGTGCCCACCATATGCACAGGAATGGGCCAATAGGAAAATTCAGAATTTTAGTATACACACAGTTATTTCTCAGTCTCTTGAAACATACTCTACAAAATTCCTAATTAGAAAAGAAATTACAGTGATTCTCAAGATAACACAGGGAGCACATCAAGCCATCAAAAGCAACAAAAGACATCTTACCTGCACCAGAACAGATGATATCTTGAGAATTCTTGCACATTTCATTGCTTTTCTTCCGTGTAAGATTGCAAGTAGTTGGATACTGACAAGCTTCACCATACCAGCCTTCATCACATTTGCACTTCCCACAATCACACTTCCCATGGCCTAGCAATGGAAGGAAAGTGTGTGTCAAGTCCTTTTTTTCATTCAGAAAGTGATATTTTCTAATACAGCTTTTAAAATAGATTCCATCAATTGTCGCTTTAAATTAACAGATTCACTCAACATAGTTCATATGCAGTTAAACCCAGAAATTAATAAATACGACCTAAATATGACGAGACAGTTGAAATCACCATGACTTTGAAATCTGATGTATGTGATTTTGATATGTCTACATGTGAATTCTTAGTTTAAGAAGGAATATAGAACTAGAACATCCTGTATGAACAACAGACTTTCTTATTACTTTCATCTCTTTCTCATTCCCATATATTTGTTTACTGTTAACTACTATCAACACAAAACTCCAAGTGCAGAGATTCCATCCACCTCCTTGCCCAGCTGTAGGCAAAGAACAGGTAGAAACTGCAGCCTGAGGACACAGGAATAAGTCTTACGGTATAAACCCTAAAAAGGAGCATAGATGGAGCCAGCTACAGCAGAAAGCAGTAACTCCATCATGCAGTGGCAGCTGCAGCTCCTACCTCTACTGAAAGGTGCAAATTCTTCTTCCTGAAGCCTCCGCTGGCTACTGGTTCCTCCAGCCCTCTCCCACCCACTTAGACTTTAGTTGGCTGCTGCTGTGAAACTGAATTTTGTCTTTAAATATTGACACAATATTGGCAATGTAGTATATTTTGATACTCAGAGGACTATATTTATTTATGATTATTTGCTAAGTGTGAAGTATCTTAAAGAACCAATGCATCTGCTCAGTCTACCAGGACATGGCATGCTAGCCTTCTGTCAGTTGAATAATACATTGCTTAGAATTTGTAATGTATCTAATAGTATAAAGAATTATAAAAGTAAGGAAAGTTTGTTTCTAAAAATTCTCTAGTTTTCTTGAATATTACCCAAATAGTCAGATGAATTAACAATTTACACTATTTATATTGCACACTAAGCATCACATTCGACACTAAATTACAGGTGCCAATTTTAAAGACTTAATTCTCCAGTATTCCTTTACAATTTTAGGTAGTAAATGAGAAAAAATGAGAAAACAATTGCAAATCTTTTAAACCAGAATATTCAATTTTAAAATAAATACCATTTGAATGTGTATCTGATTGACAGAAGAAGATTCTTTTCCAATCACTACATCTCAAAAATAGAATCTTATTGCAGTCTATTTAAATGCATCTGTTGCCTGTAGTTAGAGTCAACTGCCTGGAAATACAAGCCCAGTCTGCTGCCAATAAGGAATTTAAATCACTATTGTAAATAGAATATTTTAATGAGAAAAAGGAATATCTTCTGTTGCTCAATAAAATTTTGTTTGCCTTCTAAGATGGTTCTAAGACAAGATACAGTTCAATAGCCAAAAAAAAAAAAAAAAAAAAAACCCAAAAAAAAAAACCAACCACAACAGTTCAAAAACGTATGAGAGTCATGTTTTAAAACAGTTGTCACCTTAAAAATTGCTGAATAACTCTCTGTTGGTAAAGGACAAGAAAAAAAAAGTAGGATATAAAACACATAATAAAGACCTACTCTTGTGATTACTCTGCTTCACTGACAGAAGACAGCATAAGCCATTCTGGAAAATGGTGAGAAGTCCTAGAGTAGCTTAAAAAACCTAAAGACAAAACATAACCATCTCTACGTATTTTCCTTCCTTTCCAGGATTACTTATCACAATGACTTTGCATTCTCCATGTCAAGCACTTTTGTGATTTAACAGTTTGAGGTCCGCTGGTGAAGAAAGATGCTCTACTAAAAGGAAGACTGATTTTCCTATTCCCATGTCTAGATGACAGAGTAAGGAAGAAGCCACTGCTGGTTAGTACTGATGGTCCAGCAGCACTAATCTCTCTCAGTTAGAGATGCACTAATCTAACATATGATGCAGGAAGAAAAAAGATAATTTCGCTTGAAATTCATGTAGCCTGCTTAAATAAAATGAATACAAAAATTTCATAAGAGTAGTCCTACAAAGCAGTTTCTTGGCTTTATTTAACAAGAAAATATAAAAACCTGAAATTAATTAGATTAAACTGAGATAAATAATGGAAAATCTCTTGCATGCAACTGAAAAGAACTAGAAGGAATGTAACCAATATGAATTTGCAAGATTGCATTAATGATTTTCATCCTGACCACCCCCCTAAAATATCATTTTGCCAATTGAATTTTTTTTTAATTGTAAAGCAATGGCAATATTCTGCCCAAAAATTTGGGTGAGAGGACTATACTGAAGTGTAGAAGGGCATAAAACTGCCTGCAGTAGCTTGTACAACTCACTGTATCTTCCCTGTCACATAGATGATGCAGTAGATCTGCAAGTCAGTTTGACATCTTCTTGCTTATTTTCTACATCCACATGTACCAATCTCACAGTCTTCCTCATGGCAAAAATAGTGATGTAATGAACTGTAAACCAAGTAAGTGATAAGCTGTAAGAAAATCAGAGAGGGTAAAAATTGTTTTGCATTGGTTTCAGATTCCTTTCAGGAAGGTTTGTGTAAGATTCCTTTCGTTGTATATAAATTTCTGTATTATTTAGAAGGCAAATAATTATTATGAAATAGTAAATAAGGAGTAAACACCACTATGAAAACTGTGAGGTGATATTGTAACTTCCCAGAAAACAAATTCTACCAATAAGGGGTAGACCTGGGTATTTGAAAATGTGACACATTACACAAGAAAACTGAGCTACAAGACCTTGCTAAAGAGTTGATCAGGAAAGCTGTATCTCAGACACATTCATTCCATTTTTCAAAAAATGGCTGTAACATGAATAAATGTTAAACATAAATAAATCAGAATTTCACTTAAAAAAAAAAAAATCAGAAATTAAGGGAAATAATGAAGACTCAAGGAAGTTGCCTTTCCTTTAAGAAAAGGATTGGCTGTGGACTGTGAAAAACTAGCAGCTTCAAACATGTGGAAAAACCTTCTATAACAAAGGGCTCCATTTCCTTCTAGATGAGCAGTCACTATATCTGGAGAATGCAGAAGGCTTGTAGGGTGGAAAATGAAACTAATATGCAAGGAAAACTGTCAGATGTCACAAAATATATGAAGAAAGTGACAACAGAAAATGTTAGGCATGGTCAGATCTTGCAAAATTGGAAGTACTAAAATGTACTTTCAGCATCCAAATAAAAAGAAAACAAAAAAAGTGGCTTCACCAAGCAGCAAAAAGCAGTTAAGATTAAAGATAATTTACAGACAATCCAAAACAAAATTAATATTGGGATGTTGACTACAGTAGCAAATGCAGTGTAGCTAATGATACAGACTGTGGAAATGAAAATTACTCATCTAAGATGAGAGCAAAACAAAGACATAAAACTGTTTTTAAGGAAGTGTCTAGACTAGGAGGGCGAGACCCCATAATTTACACTTGAAAGCACTTACAGTACTTGCACATGAAAGGCCAGTTTAATAACAAAGACTTTTAATGAATCTATCAGGCTGGCAATCAAATGTCTGAAAAATAAAAATCCAGGTTGGTGGGGTTTTTTTTAAGAAAAGGGGATGTACATGATCCAGGCAACATAAAAACAAGTGGCTCTGACTTCATGAGCTGTGCAAGGATTTGAAACAAAATATGAAGCACTGTATAGCTAGAGACACTGAGGTAATGAAAAATGCAATATAACGAATAACAGCTTTATCCCAAAATAGACTATCACTACACCAAATTAACCTGGCATGTGTCTTTATAAGATAATTGATATTTTAAGAAAAGGAACACAGGAAATCTAGCTGATATGATTTTATATATATATATATATATATATATATATATGATACAGTGTCATTTAGGAAAAAAATTATTCTGGATAAGGTACTCCAGAAATGTAAAAGAATCACAACTTGGTTTAAGAGAAGGAAACAACATTAGGATCAAAAGGGATATTACTGGGATATAAGGTAACTGGTGATGTTTCACAGGATGTTTTTGGAACCAAATATGTATTACTGATATTGATACAAAAATTTAGAGTATGCTAACAACATTTGCCAATGATACAAACCCATAAACTCTCAGTAGAAAGGTGAAGATGGAAGATCATACCACATGAACTGGACTGACAGTCTAAAGGACTGAAGTAATAAAAGTGGATTGAAACTAGAAATACAAAGCACAGGATCACATACCAGGGACAAGGAAAGGATGCCATAGGCTAAAGCCTCCCCAGTTGGAAACAAGAGCCTGAGTGTATATTCATGTCAACCCTGGAAAGATGGTGTGGCTGTCTTTAGCTGAAAAGAATCTGAGATGTACCCACTGAAGATACATCAGTAGGGACAGAATATAGTAGCAACCCTGCAGTCGAAATGCTACACACAACATACGTAAAATGGACACAGGCCCAGTTTATGCTGGAAAACTACCATTACATCTCTAAACCTCAGAAGAATCAGTCAAGTTTTCCAGGAAAAAACACTTGTAGAATTTTAGCCACTTGCAAAGTTGCAATAGCCTAAGAATTAAAATATCTCAGCTGAAAGACGGCAATTTAAACCACAATCATTTGGCTCTGATCACATGCTTTTGCTCTTAAAATCTTAACTTCATTCTAAGTGCATTCTAAAAATGTTTTTCTACTACATTTGCATACCTGTAGGTCTGAGAGCAAAGACACAAAGGTAAAGTCTCTGACAAAAAGTTCTGAATCCACATCTGAACCGTATGTATTCAAGGCACAGTGTGAACTGAAGAGCCCTCAGAGGCTGGCTGTCCTTCTCCACTAAACTACTGGGAAGCATACAATGACTCAATAGGATGCGCAGACTTAACTGGTGGGACTTTGGAGTTTGCTGCATCACTAGACACGTATGCATGTAAATAAAGATTCATTCATTTACTTTCTTTTGCTTCACTTACCTATACAATAATTTATGTCAGGTTTTAAATATTCTGACACACTGAATAAAAAAAGGAGAAGGATTTCAGCTTAGTTATAGGCTGAACTCCATCCATT